GTGTTTGAGAACTGGGGTTATGATGTCAATTCTGTATTAAAAATGTAGAAAAATAGGAAAATCTATTTCCAGATAGTGTTACAGTAAATTAAAATTAYTGTTCTTAAGGCATAGTTGCCTAGGACTTTTTTAAAATACATCAGCCTAATATTTGAGTGTTTTCTTTGTTATGTTGATGGTCCCAACAGGCTTCACAGCACCAGACACAGTGCCACCAAAACCAGGACACAGCGTCTGGGGAAGGATTCCCAGCCCCAGGACATGCGTACAACCACAAGACACTCGGGATTTCAAGGAAACCTCACTCAAATGTTTCTTAGTGATTAGCTTGGGCATTTGAGCTGCAAATGTCACTCCCACACTCCCCATTTTCTTTGGGAATATTCTAGAAAGGTTGGTTACCCAACAGATCTCTAGATTCCCCTCCTGGAGCTGGGCACTCTGGCTGAATGTCACTGTCCTAATAATGGCAAATCTGGGTCTGCTCTCTTCAAACCCTTCTCCCTGGCACATACCATTAAACTGTCAAATACTCTGACAGGACAAAATAAAAACCTACCACTGAAGTGATTTAAAACYTGAAATAATTTTTTATTAGCAAGAAGTGAACAAGCTTTCTAATGTCATCTCCCTGCTTGTCTTGTTACCTAATAAAACTCAGGATAAAGATAACTAGAGAATCAAATACTTTTGCACAACTCAAGAGGTTAATTCCATTTCTTAATTATTTATGCATGTAAATGCACACCTACGTAAAATTCCAAACAAGATATGCACTTTGCAGTGCTGTAACATCCAGCATGCCAAGATCCCAGCCCACTGCTCGGAGCACTGCATTTAGGAAAACACAGCGAGCAAGAAGGACTACTGGTTAATTCACTACTACCGAAGGCATTGAGCAATCAACGTTTACTATGAAGTTCTTCACCGACAATTATGCAACACCWAGGAGTATCTCACAGCAGCCTCTGCAACCTTCCCTTTCTGATGTCGCGAAGAACCTTTAGGAGAATAATCCAAATGCCACCTCAGCTTGCCTTAATTCCTTTTATTTCATTCTGGAAACGTCAACCAAACTCCCCGRTGAAAGGGGCCAGCTTCTGTTTCTGGATGCAAAGTGCAAAAAGCAACAGTAGCCATGGCCTTCACCGTTTGTAACTCTGCCTTGAACAGGAACAAACACAATTCCCACTGCCTGGACCCCTCTGGCAGCTGGTTCTGTAGGAATGCATTTATACAAGAACCAGAGACATCGCCCACAGCAGTTTCTACAACCTGCTCTCACATCCCAAGAACACAGCCGTGTCTTTCCAGGCTGTCTTTTCACACAGCACCAAATGTTTCTAGTCCATGACAGCTTTTCCAAATTTCAGGTCATTCCTGACACCCTTTGCTGTACTCTTTTTCCAGTTCCAGTATATCCAATGTTATGCAACTTCACCTCAATTTCCCGAGACCGACTTGTGCCTTTGGATCCACCACGGCAGCAAAGCCAGACAGYTGAGGAAACCTCTTCATGCAAGCCCTCACTGTCATATGAGTAACCCTTACTCACAGGAAAAGTCAAATTAATTTCAGTAAGACTACTTTTATGATTAAGGATTATTCACAGGAAGACTGCTTGCCAGCTGGGGCTGAAGTTTTAATACAAAGCATATTACCTCAGAACATTTTGTCTCTAAATAGTTATTAGACAGCTCTTAATTAGTATTTAAATAAACTGTCCCTTACAATGGCTTATTAAATACTGTTTATCAAAACAGACATTCTTTTCAGAAGCAGCAGCAGACATTTTGACTACAGCAAAAACAGAGTGAGGATAAATATCATTWCTCCTACTGTTGTGCTAGGAACAGCAAATTCAGACAGAAAGTGTATTTTAATGAGCAAGGTTATTACACCCAGCAGATTGAACAAGTTGTTATTTGAGGAGYACTCTGATGACAAAGATGCAAACTGGCCCTTACATCACCTTACAGAGAAAGGCTTCCCACTCGGAGCAGGACTGGGTTTCTTTGTGCAGCCTGGCTGGGGTTTTTGCCTGACAGAGCACACCAACATTAACCCATTTTCCAGAGCAGTGCTGGATTCCCGCYCCACTGGACAACACCACACACACAATGGTGCTGCCAAGGGCTGCCAGTCCAGAGGGACATCCCATGGAACTGAGACCACCCCAGCACCAGGACACTCACAGGGAATCATAAAACCTTCACTTCAGACCGTGCCCCGAGCTCAGGGTACTGGGGACATCCACACTTACTGGACATCACTGATAAAAGAGAATCGGTCACTAAAAGCTTTTAGCAAACATTTCMTGCTAAAAGATTCAGAAGCAGCAAAGGCTCCTAACCTCTCTAGCGTGTCTATGGAAAACCAGAAATCATGAATTGTYAAACCAACCCAAATCCACCACAGCAACCAGACAGAGCTGGCACAGAGCTCTGGCTTCTCCAAGGCAGGCAGACAGCATTCCTGCTTCCACCAAACAAATGTCTGTGGCAAGGAATATAATCTAACCATGAACAAACAGTATCACGACAGACTATAATTATTTCAGAACTGCAATTCTCCAGTCACCAACATTTCTTTGTGATTCACACCCAAAACAAAGCCTGCAATTAAAAATAACCCAACATCTAATAGCAGAATCAGTTTTAAAGATATTTGTATCTGCCTCGCTGCTAAAGAATGAATGGATTCCCACCAATTCTGGTTTAGATTTTGTCCTGYTACACTGAAAAGTAAATGATTAGCAAAAGTTTCTCTAACTGCTAATCCAGACTACTGTAGCTTTAACAGTTCATAAATTTTGAAATGAATATGACAATCTGAGGTTAAAGGGTCAGTGGTGCTGGCCACATATTTCCAGTCAGTGTTTCCGTTCTCAATATCTTTTACTGATACATAAATCCCAACCAACACTAACACAATACAAAATAAATCTTCCTAATAGTTTTCATATCTGAGGTATTTTAAAAATACTATTACTTTATTCCTTTTTTTTTTTTTTTTTTTTTTTTTTTTTTTTTTTTTTTTTTTTTTTTTTTTTTTTTTTTTTTTTTTTTTTGGCAAAGTCAGAATACTATAAAAACAGAGTTTCATACACAGCACCACATTAAGGTACAGATACCTCCCACAAAATTACACAGGAGATTAAAGGGCTGCACATTAAACTCATTATTATTAAAGCCACTTGCAAAAGAATTTTGTTAAACTTATTTCAGTGATATTACACACCCATTTAAAATTGAACATTTCCCTAGCACAGGCAGGTGGGAGAAAGAAAAAGCAACCAAACCACAATAACTATGAAATAGCTTCACTTTATAATTTATGCTAATTGCATGCCAACAATTATTTTTGCCAGTGACAGATTTGCAGATTGCAACTGCAGGAGAAGTTCCGCCTCTCCAAACACACACTCCAGTCTGCATTAATGAACSGGGACTTCACAACTCTGCGAGGAGCAAACCCTCCACTGCCTCCCTCCTACAATCAGATACGATTGTTCCCTTCGTGCTTCCCGATTTATTTTCCTGCCTGGCTAAGAGCAGCGTAGTCAAAATCACCATAACAATCCCTCAAATCACCCTTCCWGCATCTCGATACACAGCACTGCTACATATTTATAAATATTAMCACATGCCTTCCAACAGGAGCACCGATACAAACTTACATAACGTAAGTAACAGTTCAATAAAAAGCCGAAATAAGAATTGTATCGTTCTGACGGAACGATCTCTGGGCCGGTTTTCCATCAGCGGAATACCACGGCTCTTGTCCCAGATTCTTAAAAGGCATGAGCAAAATAAATACTAAGCATATGTAGATTTAAAAAAACAAACAAACAAAACCCTGAGTCAAAATAACAAATATACTACAATGAAGTTAAAAAGCATAAAACTAAGAGCTTGATCATTTGCATTTCCAAGTAATTTCCCTTTTCCCCCCCTCTCCTAATTTTCATAAGGGAGCTAAAAACAATCTCTTCCTTCCTATCAGCAGAAGAACATATGCACCCACCTCCAATTCTGGCAGAGCTCTGCTGCGGGGAGGGGGCCCCCACCACAACCCTTTCACACATGCTACCCCCAAAGTTGCATCACAAGGTTTTAACTCCACCACACCACGCACTGAACAAGTCCCTCCTCCCCTCCGACATTATCCCTGTAGCAGAGAAGGCTCCCGATGATCCAACAGCCCTCTCGCTCACTCAGCTGTTGCCCAGCCAGCAGGGATAATGTTCCTGTGCGTGCCAGGTAAAATAAAGCAAGGTATTTCCGAATGGCTTTGCCATTACACACAAATTGTTTTCGTATTTTAAATTTAAATTGCCAACCCGTAGCTACCCAAAACTGATACCATAATTTCTACAACACTRAACCACGCAATCCACGTCGGAAGTTCCCAGTGAGATGGGCAGACAGCATCTATGCAAACAATCCGGCACACTACTGTCAGCCCCTGTTGTTCTTCAGAGAAGAAAAAATTAAAAGGTTTGGGGCTTTTTTTTTTAACCTCTTGCCCGCGAGCACGATGTATGCAAAGAGGAGAGCAGGCTGTAACAGCAGCTGACACGCCGTCACAGGAGCCCAGAGCTAAGTCCGACAGACGATCACACTACATGAGCGTTCGCTGCTGCTGAAATGGCGTTTGTCATTGTGAGAGGAGAGCAAACCCCCCGGTTCGGTGGCACAAAGCACACAGGGCACGGAGTGCCAAGGGAGGCGGGGAGAGGAGCCTGTTTACCAGGGAAGATGGTCGTGCAGGGGACACAGAGCCGTCCGCTCCCCGCTCTCTAGCTGCGAGCGCGATATACGGACCCGCAGCAAACCACGCTAAGGAGCAAAATAAACACGGGGACCGGGCCGGGGGAGGGGCCAGCGCAGGAGCAGCCCCGGGCCCTGCCTATAAACCCCCGGCAGCTGCTCCCGACCGGCAAACCCGGCGCGGAGCCACCCCCGGGCACCCACCCGCCCGCTCACTCACTCACTCACCAGCGAGAAGAGGTTGGAGTGACAGTCCTCCAGGCTGGCCCCGTTCGCCACCCAGTTCGCCGCCGCAGTCATGATCCTCGGCGAGCCGGGCCGCCACGGCGGGGCATGTCTGAGGGGACGGCCGGGGGGCGAGGGGCGAGGCGGGTGACCCTCGGGGCGACCCCCGTCACTGCCCGGAGCGGCCGCYGCGCTCCGGCCCCTCGGCCCCGCGGGGCCCCGCGGCCGGGAGGGGACGCGCCGAGGCCGGGGCGGGCGCGCTGCTCCTCGCTACCCGCCCCCGCGCCGATAATCCTCGAGCCGGGGGGCCCTTCTCCGGTGCAAGCGGGGGGGACGCGTCCCCCGCTCCTCCAGGCCGGGAGAAGAAGAGGAGGAAGGGGGGGCCCGGGGCCGCCCTTCCGCGTCCAGGTGCGGCCCCCCCCGGCCGGGGGTCGCGCGGAGGGCGGCGGGTCCGTGCGGGACGCGGTGCGGGCGGGGCGAGGGGGTGTCCCGGTCCCGGCCCCGTGCGGAGGCGGCGGCGGGCGGGGGGCGCTGTGTCCCCTCCCCGCCCCGCCCGGCCGCCCCTCGCTGCTGCCGCCGCTGGCTGTGCG